CATCCCATCTTTAGAATAAATGCAATTCAGTCCTTCAATTTCTATAGTGTAGACTTTAATCTCCAAAATTGCAGATTTCATTCAATGTCAGCATTCTTTCTTTTCCAATTGCTTTGAACGAGTGCATAATTAAAACAAAAGAAAATTAACCTAAATTAAGTAAAAATTAATAATTTGACGAAATAACAGTTTATTAATTTGATCCAAATAAGTGCACAAATTGCACTTATCACCTCCAAAAATAAGTTATCTACAAGGCTTTCTGTTAACTTATCATCGGTTCTTTGAGGTTGATAAAAACAGCTCACGATGAGGTCAAGCGAGAGTAATTTGGCTTCTTGGATAGTGGGAGAATGATAAAGCCTGTATTAATTAAAAAAGTATTTGGGATCCCTTTTCTCCTTCCAACAACCTCTATTTATAGGCCTCTAATTAAGCAACTTGACCCTCTCACGTCACATCAACTACAGTACCGAGCTGGAAAGGTACGCCATGGCACCTCTTGATTGGTTGTCGAGCTCGACTTGTTAAGGTCGCAGGTCGAATATCAACATTGGTAAGGTCGCAGGTCGAATATCAACATTAATTATTATGACTTATTATGTCTAGCACTGGTAGCAAGCACATTGAAATATTATTAATTTGCTTCAATATTATTAATTATTATGACTTATTATGTCTAGCACCATGTAACAAGCACATTGAAATATTGATGTGACTAAAGGAAGGTTGCAACGGCTTAATCCATTATATAGTGCTTTGATTTACATGATCATGTCTTTCTATTAAGAGCCCGTTTGAAATAATATTTGAAAAGGCAAAACCTACTTACGGGATCAAAAAGTTGCTTCTGAATATGTTTGAATAATTTTTTGTTTAATGTTTTATCTAATTAGAAGAATTTTTAGAAGGAGCACACATATTTTCACAAGAAACGAAAGAAAAAAAAAAAAAAGGTTCAACCAAACGGTCCCTAAGTAGGGTCTTATATTTAATTTGCTTAATATTAATATGCCATCAGAACCCAAATTTGTTACATACAAAGGTGTGCTTTCAACATAACCCACTCCACCTTTCAACTCTCCTTCCTGATGAACATTGACAAGGAAAAAAAATGGATCAGAGAATATTTTCAAGTACAAGTACACTAAAGCATGGTGATCTGTTTTAGCTGGCCCTATAATGGGAACAAAATGAAGATTTTGCGGAGTCCATAAATGGAACTCATTGCTGTCCATGAAATTATTTATCCCTGCAAGGATATATTGATGTCCGTTGTGGACTTGCTCGAGTTTTCCGCAGTTGGAACAGCCCCCAAATTATTCGTCATGACTGTAGATTGAGGCGCAATATTGCCTGTGTCGAAGCTCTTATTCACTGCATCGAAAGAATGAGGGATACCAACAGGGATTGATGCGTTGATATTCAATGTGGTTTCTCCTTCCGGCTTCTTGGGTTTTAGCTCAGGGTGGCCGCTTGGTAGAAAACTGCCGACAATCACCTGATATAAATTGGAGAGAAAAAAATAGAATGAAAAAGAAGGCCACAAGAACAAACAGGAAAACTGACACATCATGTATGTCTTAAATCAGGATAATTTGCACTCGTCGCCCCAATGTACATCCTGATTTGCACTTTTATTCCCAACCTTGGTTTTCTTGGTATTAAACTCCTCCACGGTTTCATTAACAGGCACAAACGGTCGTATTGACTACTTCTGTTAACGATACTGTTGATGCAAAAAGACAAGATTCTCAACAACCTTAAATAAGCAAACAAAGGTTGAGGGTAATTACGTGGAAATCCTGGGTTTGCCACTGTTTGACAAGGAAAATATAACGACGAGTACTTTCTAAAATCTTATAAGCAGTTGAGGGATAGCAAGAGAGGCAAAATTGAAGAACCAAACGGAAGAAGAAATACCTGTACAGGACTAGCAGCAATCATCAGTCCAGCAATCAAACCTCCCACAACACGACCATCAGGACTTGACAAAGAGGTGCTCATGATGCCAGATCTCGAGTCTTCCATGTCCAAAGGAGTAAAAGATCCGGACAGAGAGAGAATTTCAAACCGACCCTATAAGTGAATCATAGGAAGAATCCCTCAGGTTACCAAATTATACAGTACACATGAAGTTGGAAACTAATAGCAGAATCCAATACAACCATGGGAGAGAGTTTTGATTTTGAACTGATGTGATTACTGTTAGTTACGTACGAAGTCAACGCAGATGATACGTATTGTGCACTAGAAACATAGAGAAGGAGGTTTTAGGAGAATCTAAGGTAGAACAAAAGCTTTCAAATAGCATTTAAGACTAAAAGATAATTCTCCAGAAACTAATCAAAATATAAAAAACTCGGAAGCTTTTGAAAAAATTAAATTTCCTAAATGGGAAGCCAAAAGGGTCGTTCAGGAATCCCGTGCGGAAGAATGTGAAAGTTGTATAGTTGTCTTGGAACTACTGTTGGAGAGAACTATTTACAAGATATCTCGACAAAGGGAAAGGGGAAAGTAGAAATCTAAAACAATTTATTAAAGATGAGAATCAAACCGTTTTTGTTTGTTTTGTAGAGATGGGACGACAAAAGGATGGGGGAATTACATCGACAAATCATGTAACGAAAGGCATAATATGGATATTGATTTGTCTAACTTCACTGTAGATAGGAAAGTTGTATACTATAAGAAGTAAGTTTTCAGATGTAAGAGCGGCTATAAAAAAGGGAAAATGAGTAACAATTTGTCCAGTTATCAGAGTATGAAAGAGTCAGAATAAGTGGGTATTATATGGTTAACAAATGTGTTAAATGAGATACAAGGGAAAATGATGTTGAATGTGAATGGAGGAAGAGTTTCATAGTACCTATTTTTAAGGATAAGTGAGACATTCAAGATTGTATGATCACGAGTCACACAATGAAATTGTGGGAAATGGCAATTGAGCAACAAACTAGGTATAATTCAAATGTTTCAGAAAACCAGTTTGACTTTTTGTCTGGGTGATCTACTATAAAAGCCATTTACACGTTTAGGCGATTGACAAAGAAGTATAGTAAAAAGAAACAAGATCTGCACGTGGTTTTGATTGATCCAGAAAAGCTTATGATAGTGCATAGTAAAGAGCTATGGTGGGTGCCAAAGAGAATTGGACGACATGGAGAAAGCTACAAGAATTCTATGTGATAGTTAGATCAGTGGCATACCTCATAAGTCAAGGTATTCCCAGATGAATTAGGCTGCCGAAGTGTAATTTTCGAGATCAAACCAACAGCGGAAATTATGCAAATAGCTCGAGGTCCTTCTAAAGAGAATGACATAATCTTACCTGAAACATCCTGAGGAAAAAATATAACTGATTAGAAACATTATATGTATTATACACCAATAGATAGATGTAATAAAAGGAAATACCAAAAAGCCCTTTTAACAAATTCTTAATCCAGAAAACATGCAAGCGTTGTGCCTGTCTAGACAATCAAAATGGACACTATTCAATTCCCTTGAAACCAATCGCTAGTCACATGTTAACTACGTCGAGCAAAGTCATGTATTAAGTTATTAACAATAATGTGCTTTTTAGTTTTAATATACATCTCTTTCCTTGAAACTATACAACTGAGTTAGAACAGTTAGAAATCTCGCCCTCTCTCTTAGCAATTCTCCCCTCAGAACCAAACTCAGCAACCCAAAAAGAAAGGCCCCTCTCTTCTATCTGTAGTACCACAACCTATGACAGTATATTTTAGTTCCATCTCCACTTTGCCTTGTGTGGGTTGGGATGCTTATTTGAAAGAGCCAAATAGTCACAATGAAAGGGAAAAAAAAAAAAATAAAAAAATAAAAAAATAATAATAATAATCAGATCTAGAAAACAAAACACGTTTAGAAACAAAAAATAAAACCAAATGAATGAAATATGTGGTTAGTTGCAGAATTAATTTAGCGGCAACGGTTGTGGGATTGGGCATGAAAAAAAAAAGAGAGAGAGATTATAGACAACATGAAATGGAAAGAACGCCCATATAACTGACAAAGAACGTCCAATCTTATTGAGTGGTAGCAATGCAAGGGATTAGCAAAAACATGAACATTTTAATAAACATGATAGATGCAGATCTTTCTCGAATTTTGACATCTTTTAGCTTTTTTTCAACAGATCTAATAGGCATCCCAAATATGCATGAAAGTATTCCAGAATTATTTGTTGGGAGAGGATCTCAAGACATTTCACTAACCAAGCTCAACCTTAAGTTTTTCAAACCACTAGAACAATGCTTCACTGGCATTAATGCCATAAGTTCCCCATTTCACATCTAGCAATATGCACAAAAAATAAGTTTATATTACATATGAAAAGTGCATGTTTCAAAAGTTCAACTTTGTATTTCGCTCAACATTTTGTTCTTCTTCCTCAACAATGTACTTAATCAACAAATTACTGCAGGTGTGAGACACCAAAATCCCATGGCAAAATCTAGGAATCCTTAGAAGTTATACAAGAGTATGAGCTATGTATCACACAGGCAACTATTATGTATGTTCACAATTAACAAGTCAAGTTGTGTCTTTGGGCAACAAATCATCCATGCACGCTGGCCTGTGGATTCACGATAAGGTACAGCTACAGGTGTAGGATAGCATGTTTAGCTAAGCTTAAAAGGTGATTTTAAGTGAAGCCCATTGTACTCTAAATGCTGCATCGTGTGTGTGCATTGGTGGGGGGACACTTTCAAATCCCGTATGCATGGCCTTGTGTTAGACTCTGGGCCTACATAATCTACTGTAAACTTCCATATTTGCATTAAGTCGCTCTACAATCTTATAACGTATAAAGGACTTCTGTAGAGCTGTTTTTAGGTGAGAACAGAATGAGAGGAATGATATCATTATAATCTACTTCTTCATAGTGAAAACCTGTAGCAGCAAGTAACACCACTCTCATATTGAGGGAGAACCATTATAAATATGTGTTTTTCTGACTTCGTTTTGCTTATTATTACCACTGTAATTGCGACTAGTGTTTACCCCTAACATCTTTAACCATGTAAACCTTAACAAGGGTGTCAAGGTTTCACAAAAAGAGATGGCGAGATCCTATTGTTCATCCCACGTCTAAGAATTGTTTTAAAAGTACATAAGAATGTGTTGTGTATCCCATAACATCAACTATAAGTAATTTTTTGATCATAGACAAGCCAACTACTTTGGCTACACAGCTTGCATATCATAGAACAGGGCCAACAGGCTTAAGATGTTTAGATTCTCCATTCCAATACATATGTAAGGATATTTACAACTTCTGAGCAAAAGGTAGTACCAAGTATAGAGAATGTATATGATCATGAAAACTTAAATTTACTGAGTTAGACGACGTTAACTTCTGATGTATCCCAATCTTATTAAACTTACCTCACCAGGATCAACAGTGAGAAGGTGGGGCAAAAAACTTCCACCAGTAGAGCATGAAACCTGTTCACCTGGCAAATATAAGTAAAGAAAGAGTTATTAGAATATTTCCGTCTCTGAATCACAATTAGTATCATCACTGAGCCTGACTGAACCTCATGAAGCTACAATTGCACCAATTTAACAAACCATGTTTCCAAGACAGTGGAGCAATCACCCATAACCAAATTTATACAGCAAATATCTGGATTTATAAGCGAGTTTCCACTACATAGCCATAGGCATTCTCTTTCAAATTAACTCTCGATCCACATTCACACACAATGCAATCTTAACTTGAGAATAGAATACTGTTTGAAGAATTGATATTACCTAATTTATCTGTCCCAACTTTAATCTTATGCTTTTTCTCCGAAACAGTTGGCCGGACAACACTCGATTGCTCAACATAGAAGTTTCCAGAGGCCGGTGGAGCTGATGATGATATAGGTGTCGGTGAAAGCACCATTTGAGCAGAACCATCTGGTGCATACTTCCTTGGACGACCTCTCTTCTTCTTCTCTGACGTAGCAGACAAGCCTCTGCTTGCCACGGATGGCGTCATGGGCTGTACACCAGTGACAGGAGTCGTGTTTTCCTTCCATGGCGCAACATGGAAGCTCGACGGAGCTTCTGGAGATATTACCGTCACACCTGAAATTCCTTCCCTTGACTCCATGGTAACTTCACCTTGACTCTGTAGCTGCAAAGGCAAAATATCTGACATAATGATTAATGACATCCCCCCAAAAATAATTGATGACACAATTTAAGTTGAATCTAAGTATCCTACTTTAAGTTTAACAAAAGAAAAAGGTATAGTAGAAGTTGAGCCTCTCAAAACCCAGGAACTCAACCATACCAACCATAGAAAAGAAACAAAAGCTGAAAAATGAAAATCATTAATATTCAACAAAAAATTCTAGTTCGAAATCTGCTATGAATTCAACATTTTTAAGGCTGTGTACAACACAGTATTATAGAAGTAAAAGAAGCTAAAATATTGTCTCCCTAGTCTCGTAGTCTATTACCTACCAAACACTATTAAAGCTCAAAACTTCATACACAGCTATGGAGAAATTCAATCTTTTTGTGACCATAAAAAAAAATATATGAAAGTAAAATTTTCTTTAGGGAAGAAATAGCAAACCATGCATAACCCAGAAACTGAAACAACATTGAACTAGATTATGAAGTTGCAACCACAAGCAAAAGGAAACAGTAAAAAGAAAAAAAAAACTTATCTTAACTGCAGTGAACTCTGCATTCACTTTAAAATAAAAAATAAAAAAATGACAAGTATAAAATTCTACTTACATATAGTTTAGACTGTTCTCTGAATAATACCTCTTCAATTTGCAAATTAGTTTACTGCTCCAACAGATTAACCCCAAAAAAACCCAGAAAAGAAAATACAAAGTCAAAATAACTCTTTTAACTCATAAGAAAAACATTTTTTCTTCAGAAGCAAATGAAGTAATACATATATGTGAATCCAAGAATGATAAATTACATGCTAAACCCAGGAAAAATGAAATTTGATTAAGAAAATTTTCATGTCCGGGCAACAATTTTAAAATCTTGAAATCATTATAAGTATGGCTCATCCAATAAAATTTTTAGTTAAATTATGGGACATATGGGGAAAAGTAAAAGTTTCTTTTAAATTTTAAACTTAATTATTTATTTTCTATTTAAAGCTGAAAAGTAATGTAGGGGACCAAAGGTTAGTTAGATTTTTGGTCAACCTTTTTCTTTCCTGCTGACAGGCCTTCCGTCCTTTTTTTCTCTTTTTCCTTTCTCTTTTTTGATATGAATTATATATTCAACATTTTTAAATGAGTATTTTCAAGATACTCTTTAAATATGACATACTATCTATTTTAAAGAGTCAATATTTAAAATAATGCTTCAAAGAAAAATTAACATTTTAATTTAAAGAGTATGTTTCTATAATTAAATGCATTTAAAATATTTCAATTTTCAATGTAGGAATAGGAAAATAATAAAATAATCTAAATAAATGATAGTTAAATTAAAAGATAAACAAAAATAATAAATATTTTTTGAGAGTAGTAAAATTAACTGTTAAATATAAAGAGATTGTTGGAATATTTAAAAATTTTAACTCTCTAAATTTGTAAATGCTCTTTAAAATTGGAGAATACTCTAATTTAAAGAATGGATTTGGCTCTCCAACTCTTTATAATTAAATGCATTCAAAGTATTTCAATTTTCAATGTATGAAAACAATAAAATAATCTAAGTGCTTGTTTGTCTCCCATTTTAGGAGAAGAAATATAGTTTTGAATAATTTTTTTTTGGAGAATGTGTGGTTGAAAAATAAAGTAATTTTATTGGTTTGCGTGTAGAATATTTTATTGAGTGAATATATGGTAGAGATTGTTTACTGTAACAAACAATGTTTGATAAAATGGATGACAAACAGGGGCTAAAGAAAAGCTCGTTAAAATAAAAGATAAAGAAAAATAACAAATATTTTTTGGGAGTAGTAAAATTAAGTATTAAATATAAAGAGTTTGTTAGAGTGCTTCAAAATTTTAACTCTTTAAATGATAGAATATGCTCTTTAAAAATAGAGAGTTTATTGGAAATACTCTAAAATGGTGAAATTCATCGATGTTCTCCCATCTTTATACTTAGTGTCAACGTGACTACTTAATTTGATTTTTTTTTATCATGGCCATCCAACTTTTTTTAACCCTTTTCACTAATTTTAAAAGGGATAAATTGGTAACTTTTTTTTAAAAAATAAGTTTTTATTTTATTTTTGTTTTTTAAAATTTATTTTATGTATATAATGCGGAATTACTGTTTAACCATTTTTAAAATTAATGAAAAGTGTGAAAAAAGATGGTGGGTAGTCATTGTGAAATATTATATGAAATTAGATGGCCGGTGAAATAAAAACAAATTGGATGTCCATTATAATACCAAATATAAAGTTGAGTAGCCGGTGAAACAAAATCAGATTTGATAGCCATGGTGACTCTAAATCTAAAGTTGGGCGACCATTGGTTGATTTTACCCTTGATAAAAAATTGCCTTATTTATAATATTATTTAATTATTTTAGATCGATAAATAAATTAACAATGCATACCTTGAAAATTTATAGTTTTCACCAAAAAACATATTTCTCAAAATCATGGTTGGACTTTTTGTAAGACTAGACTTAAAGATAAGAAAACCCCACCCGTCAAACAAAGACACGTAGATTGATTTTTTTCCCTAGCCTTGCCCCTATGCAGGACGTTTTCTCTGAGCCTTGAGCTTGAGCGGTTCGTCCTGACCCCGAAATGTTACATAAAAGTTTTTTAGAGCTAGTCATGTTTTAAAACATCAATTATAACACTTGATAATATTAAGGGCGTGTTCGTTAGAGATTAAAATTCAAATAAAATTGAAAGACTGATCATTATTATTGACTTTTATTGGACGAGTGAGACCCAATAACGATCATATTTTCAATTTTAATTGGATTTTAATCACTACCAAACATGCTCTAAGACATTCAACCAGCAGATAGTGGATTCTACAATATTAGATAGAATAATTATTTGTATTGATTTGAATCAATATTCAAGATTGATAAGAAGTTCTTGATGATGTTCGAGTCAATCATACCGTTCAATCTTTAGTAAATTATACTGAAAAGAGACGTCATAGAAGCCAACAAGTCACGAGAATGAGAATCCAAATGGTCAGATTACGAGGCGAATGAGGGTAGATAGAAACTTATCGACCATTCTGATCACTAAGCAAAATTTTGTCTAAGACAGGTTAAGCGAGTGGCGACGTAGCTTAGGAAAGATGAAACCAGCTCGTCTTTCCTCGAAAGAATACTCAACATCTTCAGCACGTAAAGGCGTAGCAGGGGTCATGACTGTCTGCTTCTTAATCGATGCTGATTGAGGGAGTTTCCGGCATTGCTATTGGCAAGATTTTCGGAGTTTCCCTTTCATTAAAACTGGAAACATTCTTCATTGGACTTGCCACTGGAGTTTTGTGAACATTTTGCATACCCTGGAGTTCTGCACTTGTCACATTCTGATGCTAAGTATTAGCAGAGTCGACATTTGTCGAAAAATATATGTTACGTTGACACCAACCCTTTTCAGGCTCTGTATCTTCAAATCTTTTGGTACCACATGAATCGTCCAAAGTTGGATGAATCTCATGAATAATTAAACTGTAATCTGTACCAACCACTAAACATAGAGATTTCATAGAATTCAAACGGCCGAGCACCAGCTTCTGTTGATCACTCTGTAAATAGATTAGGTAAACTTCATTAGAGAAGAAGCCAGTGTCACCACTCCTACCAAACAACAAGAACTTCAATAATTACAAAATCAGAACTGAAACAAAAGAAGCATGGAAAAAACCTTTTTCTGTTTGCAGTGATAGCAACTGAATATATGAATCTTCTAATCTGTTCAATGACAAATTGCTGTCCTTGGTAACAATTGTTAACGGATTCTCTTCTGCGGATCTGCTTAGCTCCTTTGGGATACTATGTATTCGTATTAGAACCTCCGTAAATTGACTCTTCCTCTCAATGTGTTTCCTTCTCATCTCTTCTAGATGAGACATAACTGCCTGAAGCACTTTCTTCAAGCTTCCAAAACTCTGCTCAAACAGCGGGTATGGTCAAGAACTTTGCCAACTGCTTGGAAAATTTCCATGGAAGATTTCAGACAACGTTGAAAATGCATGTTGGGTTTCTTATCTTCTCACCTGCTTTATATGAACAGGTTGTTCTCCTGATGTTGCCGAGATGCACGCACGTTCTACCTCGACTCGGCAATTGCTCTTGGCAATGGCTTGCCTGATCCACATACATACTAAGAAAAAGATACGACAGAGGGACAGACAATTTGAGATGACCTAAGAGAACCAAAATTTGTTTCCATATGCAAATTCTAATGATCTGGTGATCATATATGTCTGATCAATTTTCCTTTGGAATAAGAGGTCAACAAAAACACAAGTATAAATTGAGAAGGATGTGGAGATAAACATGAAAATTCTGGCCAAATAAACACCAAATACTGCTCTGAAAAATGAGAAGAAGAGTGAAGAGCCAAGCATTAAATCTTCTGGCTTTTTAATTGAAGAAAAAAACATGCTTGTTCAATATAAAGCAATGGTTATGTTGCAGACTTGCAGTATATCAGATGCTGGTTATACTTTACAAAGGCTTTTAGCAGGAAATAAAACAATTTACAACCCAGAAAAATAAGAGAAGGTACAAAAATCACATCATAAGTTGGCAAATATGCACATATATGCCCAAGTCTCTCACTAATAGTAAGCCTCCTCACTAATTTAAGCAAACAAATCATAGCACACTATTTTTCTTGCTTTCAAGTTTTACCTTGTTATTCATCAAATTATAATCTAGAAATTTAACTACAACTCTCCACCCAATCCCACTCTGCTCAAACTACACGACAACAAAAACGAACTCGGCCTTAGTGCCCACTAAATTTGAGATTGGTTACACGAATCTTTTTTGGTCATTCCATTCGGTTCATTGCTAGATCTGGGAGTTATAAAACGACTAGATCCTTGATTTACAGCAGTTAATGTTAATCCGATCTCTCCCTATTTTGCATTACTCTACCAAAGTCATGTCACTCTTTTGAACAATGGAGCTTTTTTTAGTCAACACAGAATATGTCACAACTACCTAAGTTGTCCTTCCTTAACTTATCCTCCTTCCTGCAGTTGAATTACATCTTCCGATCCCATTTCAATAAGAAGAATTTCCTCCGCCAAAGAACAAAACTTAACCCATAAAAAATTTCATGAACATAAAAAATAATCATTCAAATATTTAATCATGGAAAAAACACTTCCTGAATTAACAAATACTTTTTGCTTGCAAATGTAAATTTTTAATAGCTAGAATTTTTTTTTAAAATAAAAAAAAATAATTGGTACCCATCAATAATCATACAAAGAAAGATGAAAGATGCAAAATCCACATGTAATATAAGATCAAAACAATCGAGCTTTCATTTAGATACACAATGATCAACACATTTACATACAGACATAAATATATGCACATACACATGTAATCACAATAAAAGATAAACAAAATTGTACATCAAACAAAGTCCTAATCGATACTAATTCAAATCTAATCCCAATATAATCATTAAGGGCTTGCTTTGGGAAATTTATATTCACCGATTTTGGATGATACCGTTTACGAGGGTTTGGAAAAATCGGTGCTCGATAGATTTTTTGGATACTGGTTTTGAATTATTTAAAAACCACCAAAAAATGGTGTAGTGTTATCTTGATCGGTTTTCTCAACCCATCAAATCGATATTTTTTGTCGTTTCTCAAATTCTCTTCTAATTTATCTTGTATAATTAATTATTTCCGAGAAATATATTTTGTTTAGTACTAACTTGTAATAACTAAAAAAATTATTTATAAGCAAAAAAAAAATTATTATTATTAAAAAGCTACTTATAAGTAAAATAATAAAGATTATTTTGTGTAAAAATTTTACTAATAAATTAAAAAATATAGAAAGTTACTTATAAGTAAAAAATTTTGCTTATGTGTAAAAATTATTTAAAAATACAAAATTAACTTATAATTATAAAGTTTGTATATAACTAAGAAATACTAACATAATATTTTAAGTAAATATTTAACTATTTAAGTTAAATATTGACATATATGTAAAAAAAAATTTACTTATAAGTAAAATATCACTTATAAGTAAAAAATTTCATATAAGAAACCATACTCTCTCAATCATGGGTTGAACTATTTTAAAAATCGTTACTAAGATTATTCAATCGGTTCGTTCATAAATACTCAAAATCGATACTTTAAAAAGCGCTCGTAACTTATACGCTCGAATAATCGAATTCCCAAGTGGACCCAAAGAATGAAATGAAGCAAATGGTTTACTTCATTCACAATACTGCGTGTACTTGGCCCCACAACATAAAGGATGGTTCAGAAACGAAACCTAAGATTGAGCGGCTTCCTGATCAAAGTCGCCGGAGAATGACGTAATGTTCACCGGAAATTTATTTACCGAGAGGGACTGATCATCGTACCAGTTTTGCTTCTTTTTCATAAATTTTTTAAGATTCTATTTTCTCGCTTGGGATTATTTATGTATATTGAAATTATTTGAAAATGGGAATTAAACTTTTGTATTATATTCGAAACATATTTTTATTTATTAGTAAGAGATATACAATTTCAGTGGTTGTTTCTCAAAAAGAAAAAAAAGTGGAATTAAATAAAATTCTAAACTTTAAAACACCAAAAAAAGTTATTAAGAACATGTTTGGGTTGGATTAAAATCTGATTTTAATCCAAATCAAAGTCAAATAACCAATATTAATCACATCTTTTCAATCATATATTTCAAAATTTTCTACTACAATTCACTAAAAATCTAATTTTAATTTATGCCAAACGCCCTCTAGCTGTTCTAAAGTAAGCAAGATGCAGAGGCAAGGGATTTTAAATGAAAGCGTGGCAGTCAATGTGGGACCCGAAAGTGATTTTCTGTCAAATGCTTGGTCTTCACACTACACGCATTAGACAAGAACCGGACGGCGCGGTTGTAGCGCCGTTACGCACTGTTACTGATGTTCATGCTTCTTCATTCTTCAATCTTCACCTCTTATATTTTATATTATTTTTCTCAAGCTTTGATAATTTAATTTCTTGGAAGANATATTTTATATTATTTTTCTCAAGCTTTGATAATTTAATTTCTTGGAAGAAAATAGTTCTATACCTCTATACTTTTTACAAAGATTTGTAGTGGCTAAACCAAAATGAATGATATACCTCGTCATTTAGCGATTTTACATATTGAAAGGTATGTTACGAAATATGTCGAGAGTACTTCAAAATGATGTCAAGAACCTTTTTAAACGCTCAAAAATCGTAATTCAAAATTGACCCACAAACTAGCTCGATAATATGGTCTAAGTGCAAATTGGGTGGTCTTGAGCCCACCCTTGACTTCGCCGTGAAACAACTGTGTTTTATATGGCATTAGGGCTGCAAGCAAAAATCGCCAAATTGGAAAATCGAATCGAAGTCGCAATTTCGAAACCGGTGGTTTGGTGCCACGTGGACCCGTCAACAAAATG